CACCATTGATGGAGGGCAGAGGATCTCCCTCACCCGGATCTCCCTGTCCTGTAGTGGGCATGGTCGTCCCATGGGACTGATGAAAGACCGATGCAAAGTACTCATTTAGTAAGTTGGCTTTTTCTTGGGTGTCGGTTGTCAGTTGTTCCATCTGGTTTAGCAGGGGTCCAATGTTGCCCTTGCTTTTTCTCCGGCTCCCCATATGTCTGAAAAAGGACTTTTTATTGTCCTTGATACTTATAGCCCATTGGAGTTCCGTCACAGCCTTGGCTTTCCTGCTTCACTCCCTCCAGGTCTGGACCAGTGCAGTATATTCCTCCTTGGAGGTGGATCCAGTCCTCCATCCTTTGTAGGTCTTTCTTTTTAGACACAAGAGGTCCACTAGTTCCCTGGAGAGCCACGGGGGCTGCTGTGCCCTCTTGCTGCCTTTCCTCCGAGATGGAATAGCCTTTGCTTGTGCATCCAGGATTGCTCCTTTGCTCATTGGGTCCAACCCCCTGCTCCAGGCAGGAAAGAGCGCTGGTGTTAGGTAACCCCAGCCAGATACCTGTCTAATCTCCTCTTGAGCATCTCCATATTGTTTGCTATATTTACTTAAAAACCAAATCATTTAGGGCGTTTATACACGTGCTCTGGGAGTTGGGGGTGCACTTTAATTAGAGTGGCTCCAAGAGCTGCTCTAATTAAAGGGCACAGAGCTTCTCATGTATCAGCGTCCCCACGCTTCAAAATGGCGATGGAGGCGCTTTATCTAAAGCTCATTAGATTAGCTCTGGGCATTCTGGGCTCATTAGATGAGCCTTAGATAAAGTGCCCCCACTGCCATTTTGAAGTGCAGGGATGCTGATACATGAGATGCTGGAGCCTGCTGGAGTGCGGTAATTACCACGCTCCAACAGACCTGATTAATCTGTAATTACAGCACATCCGAGCAGCCTCGCTGCTCATGTGTAGTCACCCTAAATTACAGGAGCAATTACCTACATTTGTGCAATCTCATAGAACAGAACAAGATCACAGAAAAACCACTGAGCATATAATGTATCATATAGCATTTTCACTAATTCTGATTAGTGTTTTACTGATTCTGATTTGTTATTCTACTATACTGATTTACTTATACAAATAGGATGGAATTGTTTTGACTTACATGACCCATCTTGAAGTTGCAGGCCAGCAGGCAAAAACCAAAATATTTTGAAACAGTGTGTTTTATATATTTAGAAACTACGTATGTGGAACTTCACTTTAATTACCCTTCTGAATAGAAATATTAGTTTTTTTAAGTATGTATAAATATTAAAAAGGAAAACATAACTAATAAAAAGTACACTTACATTTTAATTATGTATTTCATTTTTATTAATTATTAATGTCATAAGAGAAATACTTTTATACCTTGCTCTCAGATTAACAGTATGTCTACTTTTTGTAATGATCTTACAGGTGCAATTATCCAAAAACTGACTGAACAAGTTGAAAAGACTCTTTCTAACCATGGAAATAAAAATAAACCACCTGGAGGGCTTAATGTTGCAGAAGCATTTGTTAAAAAAGATGACATACAAGAACTGAAGGTATTTGTTGTTTTTGTTGTATGAAGTTTAATTAAACATATCTACGCTAGCTATGTTTTGGTTATTTTTGCTGTAATGGTTTGTATTCCAAGCTGAGAATAGTTTAGAAACAATGGAGAATTTATAATAAACCAAAAAATGGCCACAAGCTATGTATAGAAAATAAATTTGCTATACATTTATAATTTTTTGTTTCTTTGTACAATGGGACACCATGTTGGGGAGCTGGAAGCAAATCAGATCTAGCTTAATAGTCCCCAGAACACGCACTTCACATTTTTTAAAAATATTTTTCTGTGGTATATTTTACATAAAGGAAACGTGTACAGAAGTGGTATGAAGGCTGTGAATTTGGGGTGAGCTGCTTAACTCACTTTGGGCTTCTCTGTATCCTGGCTGTCCAAACAGCATTATACCAAACCATCCCGTATTCTGTCTTCCCATATATATGTGAAAGTTTACATACATATGTTTACATGTGCACAGCTAGTAAAGTTGCATTTTGGCTGAAGGTTTTAAGGTGCCCGTGGGATTTAGCCACCAAAGTGACCCTAACATTTGATTGCATGCCAGACTCCATTAAGGCTCCTCTGAAACTGCCTTTTACCAACATAATTTGGAGGAGGCTGCACTGATTAGGAACGGCAAAAGTCATTCCAAGTGCGTGCTATAAAACTTACAAAGAGGTTGCTAGCCAGGTTAGTCTGAAGTCAGGCAGGAGATAGGGCAGGATGGCAGCTTTGACACCAACTGGTTGAGAGGGACGTAGACAATAACCTATGTAATCCAATAGAATCTAACAAAGGAGGTTGTTACCTGTAAAATCTCGCGCCTCTCTGAACCAGGAAGGTGTGACCATGCTTTTTATACTCTTACGTTATCATGTAATCTACTTGTGTCGTATTTTTCAGGAATTATTGTAGAAATACTTAGAGTAACAATGTTGGCTTGAACTACTTTTATATCTCCCTTTGCCTATAGCTTCCTAACTACTGTGAGTTCAGCTGTGCTAATGTGTTACAGCATTTGTTTGGTAGTGAATTCTTTAGTTAATATAATATAGTTGTATAAGAGCTTTGATCATTGTCCTCTCTTTATATTTTATCTTAATTTTATTAAGAATTTTGCTTAGGGTCAGCATTTTTCTCTGCAAAGGTCTATTTCATTGTTAATTTTGTAACACTGTAATATATCATTGTTATTTTGAATATTTACAGAAAATCCCCTGGCCATTATTTTTAATACATAGAAATACACCTCTCCCATTATTGCCACACCTCGCTTACACGGATAACTGAAAATTGCAAAACATTGAAACATGGAATGTTAATAATACAGCGCAGCGAGCAAATCTGTCACTTCCTGACAAATATTGGTTTTCAGTTGACAAAGATATGAACGTTAAAAATGTATGGATGTTGCAATGTATGGCAGTTCCATCAATCTCTGCACTTTAGAAGAGACGTGCTGCGTATGCATACTTGTGGATTTTTATCACTGATGCACATTTTGTCCAGTAGCTGCTGACCCTGCCTCTTAGCAAAAGTCACGGACCTCTGTAAGGAACTAAATTCTATGTCTCAGTTATGATAATAAAGTTTTCTCTAGCTAGTGTGAGAAACTCTTTCTCTGTATGCAGTTAATGCTCTCCAATAACAGATAATTGAACCACAAAATTGCTAAGAAATTGAGAGAGAAGGAGGGTTTTTCTTAGGAGATGTTCCTACATATGAGACTGCCGGGCACAAGAAATATGATGATAATGGACTGCATTGTAGTCAGATGAGCTCATTATGCAAATCCAACATGCTAATTAAAAATACTCCTACCAGATGCTTTGAGCAAGAAAAAAATTGAATTCATGTTGTCCATATAGTTCTTGTAATGTTGTTTTGTTTTGTTGTCTTTTTAATGCTTTGGAATTAGGAGTTCTTATCAGGTTGTTACTGATAAACAAGACAAGAGACAGGTGTACAGACCCTTTTTTTTTATTGATCACACCTAAATGATAAGCTAGGCACTGGGGTAAGTGTGTATTGTGCTGCCAATTATAGCAGAATACATATGCTTACTCACTTTTACTGGGGAAATTCAGGAAAGAAGAGGAGGAGGGCTTGCATACTGGCAGTAGACTTTTTTGGATCCAAATGTTTCAACAGTTTGCAATATTTATACCTGCTTTTCCCTAACAACGTTAGTTCAAAAAGTCTTAGTCTTGTTGAGACTCTAGAAACAAGACTCAAGCAATATTTCCATGGTCCTGCAAGGTGTCAGGTAGTCAAAATGTATTTCTGTGTGAAACTGAAGGGAGGATTTTTTCCTATTAATATTCTTTTTTTCTTTCTTTAATTTATGGTATTCTCTACAAATCTGCTTTTGCTTTTAGAACTTATAAGAGAAGCTTAACAAAGGTGTACATACTATAGCATATGTTACATTTGACACATTGTGTTATCTTGCCCATTATTTATACTAACATTCTCATAGAATTGCAATGTGCTGTATTATGGATTGCTTATTTCAAGACTTTCAGGCAGATTTTGTCTCCTGCCAGGTCTTTCATTAATTTAAATGACAAAGGACACATCTACACATGCATTTACTCTAGGGTGGGTTTACTCTAGAGTAAATTACTCTACAGTAAATACACCTATGGCAGGCATCTACACGAGTAGGGATATAGGAGCTCCGGGATTCCCTGCCCAGCTGGGGGCTCGCTGCTAGTTGCCCCACTGGTGGATCAAGGCAGGGGACTGAGACCTGCCCCTCCCCTGCAGCACTTTCCAAGCCCTGCATGTTGATTGCCCAGTTGGGGCACAAAGCTGGGACCTGTCCCTGACCAGGACAGTTCCCAGCCTCCAATCCATGACTGTGGGGTTGGAGCTAGGGAGCCTGTTCTCAACCCCCGCTCTGCAATTGTGGAGCTGCGGGTGGGAACAATCTGCCCAGTCCCTGCTCTGATTGTGGTTGGGTGGGAGCTCCCTGATGCCAGGGCATGGTCCCCATCCAGGCTGTGGTGCCCAATTTGCTGCCCCAGGCTGCCCAGCTGTCCGGGATCAAGTTTGTTCCTGGTCGGCCATCTACACGTGCCATATGGCACAGTAAGTAATAATGAGTAAATTTGCTCCATGTATTTACAGGTAGCAAATTCATTCGTAATTAGAGCCAATTACTGTGCAGTAAGCATCTGCACGTGTAGACAGTGACCCTTACTACATAGTAATTAGCTCTAATCTTGAGTAAAGCATCTCATGTAGACGCACCCAGATTCCACTATTTAGTTGTGCAGAGTAATGGCTTTGCACATTCAGCTAAACCTCCCACTTGCAACATTGCAAAGATTCATTTTGCAGGCATGAAAAAACAGTTTTGTAGGCTATAGTTCATGTCACTCTCCTGCAGCTTGGCCCAGGCCTCCTGAAAATGGCCAATGCTGACAACAGTTACTATAAGGTTGGGTTCCATTTAAATAATTAGATACAGAAAGCTTTTATGATCATTTTGTTCCAAATATTTTCTATTCTTTTTTTTTGTTTTCTCAACATTCCTTTTTATTCCTTCTTTTAGTTTCCCCCTTCATTCAAGGAACCTTACATATTAAAAATGGTTCGTGCAATATTAAAATTGCGTAGTTGAAAGTACAAGAAGTCAAGGAAAGAAAAAATGTTTTTGCCAGAGAACCTATATGGCCTGTAGTGTGTTAAGCTGTGTACACATATTCAAAGGACCTGGGAGAATTCTCCTGGTTTGTGTCTCCTGTTAGAAAACTTACCCTGAATAGACTCTTGAACATTCGACTGCTGAGACCCTGAAGAGCAGAGAGCTTGCAGTGCAGTGTTGATGCTGCTCAGCCAGGTCTCTGTACACAAATCTCAGTGTACACAGATCTCAGTGTGTTCTGTAGGCTCCCTCAGTCTGCCTGGTGACAGATGACAGATGGCTGCAGTGCACAGGACAGCCCTGATGGACTAACCCAAACTTCTCAGGGTCCATCTGTCTCTCCCTGTAGCACAGTATGGAATCATGAAGGGAACATGATCTCTCCCAGAAGTGTTTTAAACCAGGTTATTCCCAGGTTATTTTGCTCCTGGAACAGCTATTTTTGCTCTGGGAAAAAAATCCTGAACACTTTTACACTCGTTCTCCTGAGAGAGAAGCGACTCTTTCATTAGCAACTGAGGGCACTTTTACACGTGCTCTGGGGGTGGTGTAAGCAGCATTTTAATTAGAGTGGCTCCAAGAGCAGCTCTAATTAAAGTGCCTCTCAGTTTCTCATGTATCAGTGTCCGTGCGCTTCAAAATAGTGGTGGGGGCACTTGAACTAAAGTTTGTTTGACACTTATGTACAGACACCCTGAATGTCATGCCCTATATTCATTTTTTCTTAACTAGTAATAAACTAATATGTAATCAAATCCTTTATAATACTGTAATGCGTAGGAACACCAGTCAAGGGCTGCAGATACCTTGTTAGGCAAGGTGCACTATAACACACACATAGCATGCAGTGTACCTACATAAACATCATAGTGTGATCACTGGGTCAGGTCCTCAGCTGGCGTAAACCAATGTAGGGGAACTGCGCTGATTTCTACCAGCTAAATGTCTGGCTCTAACTTCTGCAGTTCTGTCACTTTGTGGGGCTTTTTAAGAGTAAGGATCTGGCACTAAAGTAATTTATTGCATTCAGTGTGTGCAAAGGTTAAAAGCACGTAGGTAGTTTTTTAACAAATGAAGCATAAAAGTAAGGTGATATGCCATAGCACCACATAACCTTCATACGATGTACACCAGAGTATCTTACTTTGTAAGTATTTCACTTCCAAACATTTCTAGTCTTCTCCTGTGTATCTTGTAAATAGATTTTCAAAAGAATCTACCTTTATAAGTTGAAGTCAGAAAATAGTTTTCCTTTTTAAAAGAAAAACTACTTTTTTTTTATCAGTTCACAGAAGTGGATGATGATGACTGGGATATATCCTCTGTGGAAGAAGAAAGTTTATTGGCAAAAGATGAAAGAGGTCAGAAGGGAACTGCAATTCAAAAAAATAATGGACCCAGTACTATATCAATGGTTCAGGCCTGGGGTGCTCCTAAGGCAAATATGACAAAGGAGGAAGGTAACATGGAACACTATTCAAGCCTTTACAGCATTTGAGGGAAAAATCAGGTGTAAATAGTTGATGTAGTTAAAGGAGAACTTCAGTGTAATGTAAGATGTTATTATCACAGCATATAATTAGAAAGAAAAGTCAAATATTTTTTAAAAACTAAGGTGGTTTAACTTTATAAGAACAGATGCTAAATGTATCTACGTTTCCCAAAGCTACAGCCAACGATTTTTTTAATTAACCTACCAGGAAAATATTCTTCCATTCCCTCTTAACTGAGAATGTTGTTTTTAAATTGCTTGAGCTCCAGAAACCAGAATCATTTTAATATGAGAATAATATTCATCCTTTGACCTGCTGATGTTTAAAATGTCTATCTGATGACTATTAGGCTCATCTAGAACTGTTTATACAGTTAGAAAGGAAACAGTCCCATCTTTCTTGTGAGGGACATGCACAATTGCTTTTAGTTCTGAAGTTTCAAGATACTGCCCTTTAGAGTGGTTTCATTTTTCTGCATAGAAGAGATACTTTGGGCATATCTGTACTACCTCAAGACCGCGTTGGAGAGCTCCAAAGTGAAGCATGCCATGCTTGCTGCATGTACACTGTTCCCTGAAATGGGTGTAATATTGCTGCCCTACTGCAGTGCTGGGCACATGTCAATCCATTTGAGGGCATGGTGTGTGCAGATGGGTATGGCAGCATGCTTCATTTAGTTCCCTAGTATCCTCCTGAGGTAGTGTGGACATGCCCTGCAGGTTCTGGGAGGACTTCTGTGCTAGTATCAGTGCCTCATTGTAATGACAAAGGCAAAATTCTTTTATAGATGCTATAGTTTCCCTGGTGTGGGGGAACCCTAGCCCTGTTGAAATCAATAGGGATTTTGTTCTTGATTTTTCTTGAGCCAAGATTTCATTGTGTACAATCAGTTGCCAGGAAAATAACTTTTCAAAAATAGGATTGAGAGTTGTTTTGGTATGATGTTGTTTTCTTCTTTCTTTGTTAACAGGACTTCATGATGCTGATACAACAAGCACATTAAAAAGCAGCTTAGTCACTGTAACCGACTGGAGCAATTCTTCAGATCTGTAACTATTGCATTCTAAATGGGAGGAGATTCTGTTACTGATTCGATTCAGGTTAAATGTCTTGTCTTAAGCAGGACTGTCCAACTTCTAAGCAGTCGCAGGCCACACTGATTGGGGTCACCTGACCCAGGGACCGCACTAGTGTGAGCCACAGGCCCCTGGGTAGCACCTCCCACCTGCTGCTGAACCTCTCCCCCACATAGACACCAATGAACCACACAGGCAGGCAGCTCCCTCAGCTCCCTTGCTGCATTGCACCAGAGCACTCCCAGCACTTGGGGCTGTACCGCCCCACCTTGCCCTATGGGGCAGGAACCAAAAGCTGACATATGGAGGGGGAATAGCAGCAGCAACCAGGGTAATAGGGGAAGTGCTGGCTGGGTCTAGGGGCCACAATCAATCCCTTGCAGTTGGACAGTCCTGGTCTAAAGGATTCTGACTCCTGGGTTTTCTTTGTATTGTACATTAACAGCCAGGAGGATTTGTTTACAAGAATCTGATGGTGTTTAACCTTGAATTGTATGGAAGGATGTTTAAATATATGTGACTGGTCCTCACAGTTTAGAAACTTGGGAGAAATTCTTGGCCCTGTTGACTCCCGTGCAGAATTTCCTGGGCCAAGTGTTCACTTCTAATGTTTGCTTTTAAGACCAGCTGTTAAAGAGCCCAGAAGTATTAGCCAATAGGCAGAGTTTATTGCAGTGTTACTAGTTCAGTATTTTAAAGCATTTCTAAAATGTATTTTTTGTATTTTGTCCCAAGCTTTATATTAAAATGTAAGTATTTTAAATAAAGTATTTCTTAAAATTAAAATGTTAACATTTTCCAACATGGTTTCCAGTGAGCATCAAAAGCTGAAAAATGACATAGTTTACAGAGTTGTTTCTAGAGTATGCCTTAAAACTCAGTATTGGGAAGGTGTTTCTGCTTTAGTTGTTAGAATAGGTTTTTAATGTGTATTCACAGTAAAACAAAATTTGCAAAAATATAACAGGACAACTCAAACTAGAGCAAGAATGGTGTGTGCGGCATGGAACACTTTTTTGTTTTTGTATTGTATTCAGTAAATATTTGCTCTTGCAGTTGTACTAATTTACTGTTATTAGCTGCCTTCATTTAATAAAGACTTAACTGTTTATAACTTAAATAGATAAAAGCACTAAATTAAAAGAAAAACTTTTGTGATCATTACTGTTGTAAAAAGCTTCTTATCTTTTATTTAACTGCAATATTGTACTTGCCTTTCTTTTCCTTTGCTAAGCCAATAATGAGTAGAGGATATACTAAGCCAATAATGAGGATAAATTGAGCCAACATTGCATGCTACTTCAGTGAAACTGAGGGTCTGCCTGTCCAAACTTCAAGAAGGATTTGGCTTTGATTCTGACCAGAAACTAATCCATTATAGTGTCTCAGACCAAAACACATTCTGTGGTTATTCATAGACTCTGAATAAATCTGGATTATTATTTATATCGTAATCCGTGTGACATCCACACATTTGGCAATCCTTTCAAGCAGTCTTGTAGCCTTTCTGGAAATTTATGCAAACAGCAAGACTGCAGCAAGTGGCTAGTTTTTATTTCCTACAATGGCTTCTCCTGTTTGGGGTGTCACATGTCTGATGGCACCCAGCCTATCTGGAACAGAATTGAACAATTGCCAGAATAAGTGATTTGCCAGCTTTGGGGTGAAAAGAAAAAGGGCAACCATGTTGTAGAGAGGGTAAGTATGAAAAGGTAGGCTGGAGGAAAACTAGGAGAAGGCTATAAATGGGAGCTGAAGTGGGTTAGAGGCAGAATGGAGGAGCCTATTCAAAACTATTGTGTTGTCCTTCACATAATCTCTTCAGGTGAGAGAACGTTATGTGCTCTTACTCTGCTCTTCCTACCCTGTCCATTTTCTCCTCACACTCCCAACACACTGTTCTCCCATAGTCTGTGCCTGACGCATTTAGCCTGACCAGATCTGGTTGATCTAGGTTCCCTAGCCATCCCTAGTTCCCCTAGCTTGCTTTACCCAAACCCCTTCCCAGCCTGTTCCAGTGGTATGAGATTCATTATCTTCTACTTTCCTTTACACCTTAGCCCTTTGCTCCGTGGTATCTTAGCTCAAAAATTAAGACCAGATTGTCAGCAATACAACACCCACTCAGCACCCCTTAACCTCCATTGGAGTTGCAAGGTAAGTTAGTAGTTCTGAAGTTACACAAATGCACAAAACCTGATTGCTTTGTCCAGTACTTGACCTGTTTCAGAATTCATTTCTATGCTGCTGCTCCAATGAATTGGAGATTACATACCTGATACCATACAAAGAATCTGACATACAGTATCTGTAAATATCTCATTTATTTTTTTTATACAAGGCTACATCAGCAAGTGATTTACAGCTATTAATTTTATGTATACCACCAATATAATTCTTAAAACATTGTATAAGAAAATTGATATCAACATGTAAAATCCTGCGAGTTAATATTTTAAAAATTCATTGTTCTGGTGGCAATTGCTTCAATACTCTTCTGGAAATCACTCTGTAAATAAACTATACAAACTGATTTAAAAATTGGCTCTGGTTCTTAGGGTAGTACAGTTAAACATAAGCACTTTTGTCAAAGTGCCGTGGAGAGTCTTTGGGCAGTTTAAAGTCTACTGTACTACTCTGGGCCTTTGTCCGAGAGGAAATCACAGATGTGGCTCCTTTGTATGTGTACCCCATCCTGAAAGAGAACTATGCATTTACAACTCATACATAAAAATATGAAGCAGTGTGTGCTGCTGCCACATCCCCTCACCTGTGCTGGTGCCCCTCGACCCCCTGTTCACTGTTGCTTTATCCCCTGAGCTGCTGTCCATCAAAAATGTGGGTCAGGGCATAGGGAACAGGTTGGGGTGCGGCAGCAGTGTATCCGGGGATGGGACCGTAGCATCCATGGGGGATCTAGTCAGGGATGGGACAGCAGCCTGAGTGAGGGTTCAGGCAGCAGCAAGGGCTGGGAACTGAGTCGAGGAGACAGGCAGCAGGGATGCAAAGGGGGTAACTGCCAGGGGGGAAAGGGAACAGGCACTGCGGGGGCGGAGGGGAGGCAAGCAGCAGGGGAGCAAAATGCGAGCGTCAGGCTACTGACCCTGCTGCAGCTGAGGACAAATTTAGATGATCCTCCACTAATTAGATTCTATACCTAGAAATTATAACATAATTTTCCATGTATAGAATCTAATTACTGAGGAGGGTGTCTGAAATGTGACATAGTCTTGGATTCTGGTAAATACAGTACAAGTAATAGAAAACAATGGCTTTCTTTAACAATAGTACAGGCACTTTAAAAAGACTTGTTAACTTTAAATCCCAATTCTCTTTCCTTCATGCCATTTTTTGCCTAGTTTCATACTTCTTTTGGAGAGTAACTAAACTTCACCCATGTAATTTAAATTTACCTCTCTATGCATTAACAATTTTCCCATTTGCCAGTAGTGGGGGTTTTTTTGGCAAAATTAGTGCAAACTTTTGTTCTGTACCTTGGGGTTCTGTTGTTTTCAGCTATTGAGAAGCAGAATATACTGCCACCAATTATACAAAGTGATGATCCAGCCCATCCAATGAACAAAGCTGCTCCTAACTCATACCTGTGGGAAAATGATAAATATGCATTTACTGGACTTATCATTTAGCTTGTAGATTGGTTGCAATGTTCTTCCTGATGCATTGAGACCAACTAAAGAACTTCACGTTTTGCTAAATAATTTTAGACGTGATATGTACATCATCGCAAAACCAACAATAATAAACCCACAAATGCTGTCTCTGTTTGCAGGCTTGAGCATTTTCAAACCTATGGTTTTCTTTTTGCAAGCCAAAATGAGTTGGTGGGGAGGCACACTCTCTATTATGCCTGTTGAAGTTGTTTCATTGCACTGCAAAATATATTTAAGATTAATTGTGCCAAAGAGAGGAAGAGAGAGCCTAGAGATTACTGGATTCCAGTCCCTGCTCCAAAGATGTGGAAAAACTACAGCAAGATGCCTTGCAGCAGGGTTCATAACCTTGATTTCTCCCCTCCCAGGAGAGTGCCATAAGCAGTTAGTCGTACTCATCACCATTTCAGGTCTAACCCAAAGTGTATTTTCCCCAAATGTCATTATCTTTCTATTAAATTCCATTACATACTTTGCTAGCTCCTGGAAAAAAAACAAATGTTTCTCTTGGGAGCCCACACTGTGGGGTGAGAAGGGGATGCATGGCCAGCACAAGGGTCCCAAGGAAAAGGCAGCACAGCAGAGTGCCCCCAGCAGTGGTGGTGCCAGGGGAGTCTTGGGGGGCTATAGCCACCCCAAAATTCCCTGTGGTCCCCCCATAGCTACCCCTCCCAGTGCCGCCGCTGCCCACCTCACTCAGCTGAGCCTCCCCTGCTCCCAGCCCAACCCCCACACTGAAATGTTTCTTTAAAAACAATTCTCTTCTTTCCTTTTCTTCCATTTTTATTATTAAGAGTAGTTGAATGAAATGGGATCTAGGATCCTTAGAAACCTGCTCTAAAAAAGCCTTAGGGTATTGATACTTGTACATTTGGAGCCATTTCAGAAAGAACATTTCAAAACGGAAGCAGCTATCTGTCCATGCCCAGACTCAGCTCCTACTGAAGTGACTGTGTTTCTACTAATTTTAATGGGAGTCTGTTCAATGCAATGTAATAATGATGTTTGCTAAAAAGCTGCAAGGTCAGTGAAAAATGTTAAAATGATTACAAATGTCAAGTTAAAGGTCCACCTGTACCTAACAGCCCATGAGGTTAGTGGGATTAAAGCACACCAGTTTCTGAAGCAAGTAGAGAATGATGTGGCTAACACCACAAGTGGCTGCCTTTGTAACTTGAATGACTAGGTGCTATAGCTATGTAAACTGGGGATGGCCTTTGATATAAGTCCAGAGCAGGGCATGGCCCATACTTACCTGCTCTACCACCATACCCCTAATAAAGGATTAGAATAAAAAAAAAGGCACAGCTTGACTCAATGAGTATAAATTATGCACAGTGAACCAAAAACCATCTAAAAGTGTTTGCACAGGATAAATGCCAAAAGAAGTAGATACCATATTTACTGAAACAAGATGAGATTCTAAAAATGGAAAAATTATAAATTCGTTATAATTTTCCAGGTATAGAATCTAATTATTGGAGGTTTGCCTTGAATTTGTCTCCCTCCCTGTGCTGCAACAGGGAAAATAAATAAGGGGGGGGCGGGGAGGAGATGGGGACAGGTAGCTCTCTTGCCCTCTCCCTCCTGTGAGCTTCTTCCCCTTGTAGCACTTTCCCTCTCTCCTCTTATTGTCAAGACCTGCTGCTGTCACCACTTGCCCCAGGGGTA